CGGTGTGGACACGCCCGGCCCCTCCCGAGGCGGAGGCCAGCAGGAGCCGCTCCGCCGGGGATGGGTTCGTGGAATCCGCACCTGACCACGCGGAACGGTTTGCGGGCCGTGGACAGGATCCGGGCGTCTGTAATGATGAAGGTTTAGGCGCTAGGTCTTGGGTCCGGAGTGTGCGTCTTGATTTTTGCCGCAGTGCAGAGTCCTAATTTTTCGAATTTTTTGGGAAAGTTTGACTAGGTTCTTCCCCAAAGCAGAACTACTCACCTTGTGGGTGTATTTTTCAGTGTTAGCGGGAAGGGAGCGACAGATAGTTCCTTGCTTGCTTCTCTGCTTGGCCCATTGCTGCCTTGTGCCAATAACAAGCCATGAATGAGTAATGAATGGAAATGAGGGGTTTGTAGGAATCTCAGGGACCGGTCTAGTAACTTTGGTAGAATTGCAGTCTTCCGCTTAAGGGCAGTATTTCATAGGTAATCATCCAAACACAGTGAAGAAAAGGAAAATTTTGAAGATATGTAAGTCTGACGGGTTAACCCCTTCTCATTTTATCTTGCTAATTTTATCCTGCTGTTAGTACTCCCCCTCAAGGTGAGAAAAACAAACTGTAACATGGAGATGTTATTCAGTGCCCTAAAAAGAAAAAAGCCATAACCTGGAGAGGCAACATAGTGGTTAGGAGCATGACCTCAAAGCCAGCACCGCCAGAATCTGAATTCTGCTTCTGTCACCAGCTTTGTGATTTGGGGGCAAATTGTTTAATCTCATTGTGCTTCAGTTTTCTCATCTGTAAAAAGGGGATAATAAGAGTACTTATCTCATAGGGTTATTACAGGATTAAATCAGTTACTATTTGTAAAGCACTTGGCATATAGTAAGCACTATGTAAGTATTTAAGAAGCGAAACATCAGTAACAAGTTTTAAAAACCTCATCTAGATTTGGGGTGCCAGTCAGTTTTTATATCTGCATATTTTTTTGGTTTTGAAGTTAATGGCTATATAGGCCCTGACCATCAAAGCTTCCCTTTTGATTTTTTCCTCTTGAAAGATCAAACTGATTTTTAAAAAAAGAAAGAAAAGAAAAGATATTAAGTGTTTGATTTTTCCACGTCTGCCTTTTTGTTATTCAATTTGAAAATTACTTGGGTCCATCTAGTAACATGGTATCAGATTTAACATCCTCAGACACCACTTTCATTATATTCTCATGTGTAGAAATCCTCAGTGTTTCCTTATGGGTAAAATTCAAACTTTGAGCTTGGCCATCAAGGCCTTGCAACCTGGTCCCTAATTCCTTTTTCAGTGCTATGTTCAAGCACATCTGAGATTTGAGGAGGACAACTAATAACACCCCTGTTCTCCTGCACCTGTGCACTTATGATGAAGCCAGTAGGAGAATGTGGCATCAAATATGAACCCATGGAGGTCTGCTAATCCCTAACCTCTGTGTTAGCCCTGCTTGCCCACCTCCTCACTGCCATAGCTGGACAACCTCAGGCTTCCCCTGCAGGAGTAGACCCCCAAAGAATGTTCCCTCAATGCTCACCAGCAAGTTTGAAAGCAGCAGCACTTGCTTGGGCCTTTCTTTAAAATCTAGCAATTAAATAACTCTCTACTCGAGTGAAAAGGAGAGAGAGGCCAGGAGTGGTATTCTAACAGGCTTTCTCCACATGCAAATAGGAGACCAGGGGAATAGAGACTCCCATTAACATGCCTCGACAAAAATCTTATTAAAAAATGTCTACTCCTGGCAGATAGGTTTCTTTATGGGTCCTTGAATATGTATGGCTTATTCCCACCTTTGTGTGATTAGTTACACTGTTGCTCTACATTCTCAGTCTATTCAAATCATACATGTCCTTCATGGCCCAACTTGTATCCCACCTTTACCATAAAACATTCACCAACCAAGCCACCTGAGTATAGCTCCTCTGACCTGCTGTGCCATTTATTTTTAATTCCACTCACTTGGTTTTTAACCACTTTCTGTCATATATTATTATTTGCCTAATAGTTGCAGGTGTACAATGTGTTTATCCTAATAATTGCAAGTTTTTTAAAGGCAGGGATCAGGTCTTACATTGCTTTGTAACTCCTATTATACCTAGAATTGAGTTTTATACATTATATATATTTAATAAATAGTTGTTGGTTGAGTGAAAGAAAATATTAAGAGATTCTTCCTTCTCTGTTTAACAATTACATTTTGATTTTCAGTATTTAGAAATGATGGAATTAGATATAGGAGATGCTACCCAAGTTTATATAGCATTCTTGGTTTACCTGGACCTCATGGAGAGTAAGTTTTTGTTTATATTGCTTTATTATTGGGGCCGTGGTAGAGGGTTGGGGAGTTGGGTTTGGATGTAGCATTATTGACATTATAATAAGCTATCATTTATGCATTTGTTGTTAATATTGTCAGTTTTGTAATTTATTCATTCATTTACATTGGGAATTTCTGGGTAACAAAATAAGTAAAAAAGAAGATAGATAAAAATGTAAAGAGAAGATAGCGTTATAAGTGATGTTTGTCCAGCTGAATATTAGGTAGAAGTTAAGAATTTTTATCTTTGATTTTTGATAAACATTATTGTCCATTTAATGATGCTCTTTCAGGTAAAAGTTGGCATGAAGTAAACTGTGTGGGATTACCAGATCTCCAGCTCATCTGCCTTGTAGGTACTGAGATAGAAGGAGAAGGGTTACAGACTGTGGTGCCTACATCCATCAATGCTTCTCTCAGCCATAACAGGTGGGCAGGTGATTTTGGTCTTTGTTTAACAGGTTAGTTCATCACATTGTACACCTTAAACTTGCACAGTGTTATATGTCAATTACATCTCAATTTAAAAAAGAAGAAAGCATTGTAGAGTGTGAATGGATGAGAATGGTGATATATTACAGGGGATATTAATTTATATTAATTTTATATTAAAAAGAACATGCCAACTTAGATACTTCATTGTTAGAAACACTATTTTCTATACGCTGCACAACCAGTCTGAGCTCACCAGTTGTAAATGGCTATCCTGGACTGTGCTGCTTAGCTGTCTGAGTATAGTGGAGGTTTTTAAATGTTATTTATTCCTCAAAAACTTTAGATAACATTTTTATGACTAGGGAATCTGGGTGGTATACAAAGCCTGGGAGTCAGAGGACTTGTCATTTTGCCAGAGGTACAGTTTCATGTTAGTTATACAGGGCATGTAGCATATAAGGCATAATAGCTGTTCTTTTTATTGAAGTCCTAAGTTTATAAAACTGGACTAAACTCCATCATTTACATAGCTAACTACAACTTAGTCATAAAATATTTCCCCAGTGATGACAGTAAATAATTTCACTGTATCCTTTAAAACCACTTCAGTAGCTATCTTGACTATTGAGAGGCAGAGTGGCATATATGTATTTGCATGGCTTATTCTTTCCCTTATTTATGTTATGGTGTATATGTATTTGTGGACTCCTTAAAAGGTAACAGTTCTAGGTAACATTTCATGTTATATCTGTCTGAATTTCAAGGATCCCCTACATAGTTTTTGTATCCATTTCCTACTTAGTTTCCCAGGCTTCGGACCTTGCGATCTTATTTACGTAACTTTGGCAAGAGTGCAGATAGATTCCATTACAGAGGGAATCTGTATCACAGTGGCAGTAGGTGAATGCACACTCAGCAAAAGTAGTTTGTGACCGGTATTCTGTAAAGCACTTATACATAACAGACATTGATAGTTAAAACACTGTGGCATATTTTCAAAGTCTCAGAAGGTCTTTTAGGTAGACGTTGGCATGAAATAAAATGAGTGGGATTACCAGGTCTGCCTTGTCTGTACTGAGATAGGAGCATGGTGACAGGCTGTGGTGCCTGTACCCATCAATGCACCCCGTGCGAAAATGCTGATGGAATGCTCGTTGCTGATCTCCAGGAGAAGAATAGAATTGGTGAAGTATGCACATCTGATTATCTAGTGGGAAAATTATGCTGATGGAGTGTGAAGTTGTTTGTGTTTCTCAAAGGACAGGGCACATCTTTTCCTCTCATCTAAAAATACTACTTAATGCTAATATAAAGTAATTTTTAGCTCACATTTTAAAATACTGTATTAAGTTATATATTTGGATTGTATATGCATATGGGAAGTACTCTAGATTGTTTCTTGCTAAAGTGAATCTAAGAATCCATGTAGCACGTTTGGCATGTAGAGGATGTGAATACTCTGGTTTCCCCAGACCGAGCAGTGGTATAAAATCATATTATTAATTTCACAGAGGTCAAAGAGATCTGATGAATTTGAAGATGAGACAACCAGAGGAATCCTAATGAAAGCCAGGGGCCTTTTTCAGTGCTAAGGTAGCAAATGAAGCCACATTTATGTCCAGAGAGCTTGATGAGCTTCTTCTGGACCACCTTGCCATTGATATTTGTTGAGTTTCCCTAAATGGGAGAAGTAGATTACAACAAAGTTAGGATAATAGAATTTCAGGTTTATGTAATTAATATTAGTATTGTGGATAGTTATAAATGGGAAAATATCTTAAGTAACTTACACAAGGACCTATGGCAAATTATGGGGGGGAAAAGTATTTCTGTTTTTTATTACTGGTTTGTGTTTTTTTTTCTAGTAGAACCTAAGTTGTCTCCTGATTTCAATGTTAGTTAACCTTCTGTAAAATATGAGATGCTGAAAACTAAAACCACAGTTGTTGTATTTTAAGCTTATCTGTATTTATACATGTTATAAGTTAATTTTTAAAAAGCTGAGTGAAGTATTTTGTAAATTATAAAATCCAGACAGTTAAGATACTGTTTTTTGAAATGATCTGTAAATCTCTTTTTTTTTGCTTAGTATACCAATGAATCAGTTACCCCGTTAAACCTGCCTGAGTCATAAAAGGCTCTTTCATCCTGGTGCCAGCAAAGAATAGTGGGTAGCTTGTGCAAGGGTGGGGCCTCTCCAATGACCCTTTCATCCCCCAGCCCCACAAAGTAGTGTCATTTCTTTTGATTTCTGGTGATAAATGGGTACCCTCAGCCATTTTATCTGAGAGAAAACTTTTCCAAACGTTCTGTTTCTTAGCATCTTCTCATCTGAATATTACTCTAGAAATTTAGAAAAAGCCTTCAATATGCTGTATACCAAATTGTCATCTGCTAATTCAGCAGCCATAAGGCTAAAAGTGTAAGAACTTTTGTCACTTGGTTTGATCAGGACTCTTTTGGCTCTATTATTGCAACTTACTAAGTGGTCCTCCTTTATAACACTTATCACATTTGTTTCTACTTAATATATTATATATTTGGTTTTCTTTTATTGTTTACTGTCTTCCTTTCCCTTTTAGAAAATAAGCTCTATGAAAGCAGGAATTTTGTTCTGCTCATTGCTCTTTCTCTAGTACATAGCCTGGTTCCTGGTACTTGGTATTAAATCAGTGCTTGTTGAATAAGTGAATGAGCTCTCTTAGACTACTAAGTTCCTGCAGTGGAGATTTGCTAAATAAAATCTTTTAAAAAATTGTTTTTGTTTTGTTTTTTATATATTTTTATTGATTTCAGAGAGAGGAAAGGAGAGGGAGAGAGAAAGAGAAACATCAATGGTGAAAGAGTCATTGATTGGCTGCTTCCTGCATGCCCCCTGCTGGGGATTGAGCCCACAACCCAGGCATGTGCCCTGACTGGGAATCGAACCTCGATCTCCTGGATCCTAGGTACATGCTCAACTGCTGAGCCACGCTGGCTGGGTGTTAAATAAAATCTTAAAAAACATAGGATATGCTCAAGCAGCCTTCCAAGAATTTCTAAAAAATTAGAATGTCTGCAAAATCCTTTTGCTTTCGAGATTTTATCACTATTTCCCACACTGCACTGTAACTGTAGCATGTATCTGAGGATAGAGAACAATCGCAATGCCTCCTTACCTTTTAGTGAAACTTTGTCATCATATCCACCCCCTACCTTTAATCCCTTCTTTTTCCTTAGTGTCTTGAAGTGAGTTCCTTCTTTAGAACATTTTTAAAAATTTTTTATTTTTTTTAAACTTAAGTATAATTAACATACAACATATTAGTTGCAGGCATAAGCATAGTGATTCGATATTTGTATCCATTGCAAAATGATCAGCACAGTAAGTCTAGTTAACACCATCACGTTACATAATTACAAAAAATGTTTTTTCTTGTGATAAAAACTTTTAATACCTCTCTGTTAGCAACTTTCAAATATGCAGTACAGTATTATTAACTATATTTATAACCTTTTAAAAGATGTTCTTAATTATGAAATTTAATCCTGAAATGCTACAATATTTTTGAAGGATACTCTATTAATTATTTCCCTGTAATTGAAAAATATCTCTACTCTTCAAAAGTATGTTCTTTATTACAAATGTACTTAATGACCATTATTTTATTTGAGGCCTAAAGTTTAATAAGTAGTAAAATTATTTCTCTCATTTGACTTTCCTGCATATCTGATGCGTGACCTCATGTTACCTCTGTTGAAAATCTGTTGCTGGTGAAACCCCCAATTCTGGCAGCTTTTAACCAACATAGCATATTTTCTCTTACCATCCACCAAAAAAAAAAGGAAAAAAAGAAAGCCTGCAGTTTATATTAGTAGAATGGCTTCCCACTGGGTTGGATAGTCAACAGGCTCTTAATTGTTCAATAATGCCCCCCCTTGGGATTTCAGCCACCTTGCTTTTTTACTAGGAAGTCCTTGGCATGTTCCCAAGGAGGCCGTCTGTTGTCCTTGGACTTTCCTTCAGGATTGAGCCTGTGCATGAATACGGCTTCTTGGGCACCCTGGGCACCAATTTAAATTTGCATTGTGTTTCAGAGTTGGATTATGGAGTGTTGCTTTAAAATATCATAATGAGGCAGATCAAAGAGTTAATGTCTTTAATTGATGAGGCTACAGCATCTGCCAGTTTGGTCCCATTGAAGAGGGCAGGAGGAGATACTGCTTCCTGTGGGTTGAAGTTCATAGTTTTAACCCATGATGCATTCTGTTTCAACAACGTTTGTTTGTTAGTTTCTCACCTGAGGATATTCTTTTTTCCATTGCTTTTCAGAGAGAATGGAAGGGGGGGGGGAGAAAGAGAGAGAGAGAGAGAAAGAGAAACACCGATGAGAGAGAAAGACATGGATTGATTGCCTCCCAACTGGGGCCGGGGGTCGAGCCTGCAACTGAGGTATGCGCCCTTGGCTCAATAACATTTGAAATTAAAAGTAATGTTGCCTTCAACTTTCTTGTCCTCTGTATAAATATCCAGAGATCACTTAGTCTCTGTTGGAGGATTCCTACAGAGAAATGAAGCTAAGATTTAGGGAAGGCAATTACTTAGCTTAGAAGAAGGGCAGCAGCCAAATGGTGTTACCTGTCTGTTTGCCTCTGGTGTGTTTTCAAGTTAGCTTTATTAAACTTTGGAATCACTCTGTTTACAGTATGCTGAGCTCCTCTCTGAACAGTTATGGGAAAGAAAAACCTGTTGCAAACATCAAATTCTGTTACTGTTGATCAACAACGATGATTATTACTGATTTAGCTTTCTTCTGTTGGGATTTTCCCTTGAGAGATAGTGAACTCAAAAATATGAAATTATTCTTATTACATATGTTATGTTTTTCATATGTAGATTTATATCAAATATGAACTATAAACAATTTTATTATCCAAATTATTATTTTAGATTTGTGTGATGAAACATCTCTATAATATTTTTCTAAAGAACTGAGCTTTAAAAAATGTGCATATGAGGAAACTTTGTTCTGTGGCTTTTAAATTGTGATTTCAAACTGTAATTCCACCCTCCTCCCCACCACCAAGCAGGATAAACAGCTTCGACTTCATTTTTAACAGTGATTTCCCTCAGCTCTGAAGACAAACCAGGCTTTAGAACTCTGAGCTAATTTTCAGATGTTAGGGTTTCCCACGTGGGTGTTCTGAGTAAGTCAGAAAATGTTTTGCTGTTTATATCAAAGAACTCTGGAAACAAATATGAATGAGACGGAAATTTCTATCCTAAATTTCAGTATATGGGCTAGAATTTCCCCACAATTTACCTTAGGAAACACACACATACACACGTGCATTGTAACTTAAGTATCATATCTGGAGAAATGGAAGATATGTAAAAGTTTTCTTAATTGGTTTTTTCCCTTCCATCTGTGTCCTGTCCTTGTCATACTCTGCCGGTTAGGGATGTTTAAAGAAACTTATTTTTAACTCGTGTGTACTGCAGTGTCTTCAGACTGTCATTTTCCATCAGTGCTGAGTATTGAGGTTGCTGGTTAATTTCTGTGTTTGCTTCATCTGAGTACCTCTAAAGGAAATCCCTGATATGAACAGGAATCTAACTGATTTTCATGCAATTTAACATAGATAGAAATTATTTTTTAAGGGGAGGGGGTGGGTAAAAACATGATGTCTCAATTTGTAAGGTAGCAAACTGGTATAGGTACTATATAGTAATACTTGTACTTAATGACTATTTGACAGTTTGCAAAGCATTTTCATGTCTGCCACCTCACTGATCTTTACAAAAGCGCTGTGCATAGACATAGAGGTATTATTGTCTTCATGTTACAGCACCATTTCTAGAAAAGCTTTGATTCCTCAAATTGAGTACTACCCAGTGGGGCACAAACACTGAGGTAGTGATTACAGTAGGCAGGGCTGCTCAGGGTGCCTCTGTAGGGTAAGACACGTAACTTTGCCTAGAGGTTGGGGAAGGTGACAGGAAAGACTTAAGAGAAGATGATGAAAATATTACAGATGTCCCCTTTTTTCCCCATTGACCCCCTCCACCCACTCCCCACCCCAGGCCTCCTCTACACTATTGTCTGTGTCCATGGGTTATGCATATATGCATATCAATTCTTTGGTTAATCTCTCCCCACGCACCCACCGCCACCTTCCCTCTGAGATTTGTCAGTCTGTTCCGTGCTTCTGTAAATTAAAATAAAAATAAACAAAAACAAACAAAAAAGAAAAAACAAAAAGAGAGAAGATGATGGTTTGCTTTGTTGACTTAAAAAGGAATTAAGATTCTGCCAGGTAGCCATATTTTATCTATCTGACGAGGGTTGCCTAACAGTTATGCTTAACAACTGAGGTGTTACTGTATTGCTGATTTAACTCGTTCAGGGTCATTTTAGACAAGGTTTGAACATGAGGAAACAAACTTAGAAACTCTCTCATCTCACTTCATGCCTTTGTAAACTTAAAGGATAGGTAACAGGTAAGCAGCTTTTTGTGACTAATGTTCTGACAAACCAGTTAGAACTTCAGCTTTTCCAGAAGTTTATTGCTGTTTTAAATCACTTTAAAATCTCCAGCCTTTACTACAGATTTTTTAAAAAGTATTATAATTATTGTAGTAAGAATATTTGAAAGCAGAGACTTTTTTTTTTTTTTTTTTTAGATTTTTTTATAGGTTCAGTAACTAATAGGATGGGGGAAGAATGACAATGAGAATTTTTACTTAGGGATCGGAATTGGAACTTAAGGGGACAAATTACACTTTTGCTAAAGACAGTATAGTGTCTAGTTATTTATGTGTTCAGCTGAAGCATGTTAACATGCTAGTAAATCTTTTTCCTGTCTCTGGAGACTTGGTTAGCTTAATGAAAGAAAAACTGATCATTTTTTATTTGCCTTTTAAAGAAAGCTCCTCTGGAGGTTACATTTACTGAATTGTTGAACACAGGCCTTTTTGAGTAGGTAATAAGGATTTTCAGTTGGTAGTAAACAAAAGGTAATAGTGCTTTGAAGACCTAGATATCAGATTTGATAGATTATTTTCCACAGCCAGCAAACTGAAATAATTTATAACTGATTTCTTGATACATAATTTTATCCCCAAAGTTTATTTCTCTATATACTTTTCTCTTAGCTTTTATGAAGTATCGGAATACATATTGAAAACCATAAAAATATCTATATTCAGACCTAATAATTCTGATACTTAGAACGACCCAACAAATATTTTAAAAGAAACAACTACCTTCAGAAAGATGATCTTCACAGCTTATTTTCATTAGCACCTTCACCCCTCAAACCCTGAGAGAACTTTATAGCAATAAGGAAATGATTGGGCAAATTATAAGTCAGTAAAACATTATATAACCATTTAAAAGTAGAATTACGAACACAATGAGGGAAATATTTATTATAGTTTATTTTAAAAAACCTCAATACCAAATTATTTCACTCTAATATACAGACTTGGAAAATTGGAAAGTGAACACAGATGCACTAAACACTCGCTATTGGTGTCCCACTCTATAGGTTCCCAAATACAGTTTTACTCAGGTGTGATGATCGGGAGAGACGGGTGAATGCAAAAGAGGAGGCTTGAGAGTCAGTGGGTGGATAGCCTTTCCCTGCAGGATTGTTGTCTTCTGTGTAAGAAGCCAACTTTAAATGTTTATATGTGAGCTTTCAGACTTTTCCTGAGTCAACATTATAGTTATAATGTTATTGCCTACCTCTTGCCCAAGATTTTACAGTACTTGATCTTATTAATGAGTGACTATCCTAAATGCGCTGTGACTTTCTTTTCAGAATAAGAGAGATCTTGAAGGCGTCTCGAAAATTGCAAGGTGATCCAGATTTGCCGATGTCTTTTACTTTGGCCATAGTGGAGTCCGATTCCACAATAGTCTATTATAAACTTACTGATGGATTCATGCTGCCAGACCCTCAGGTCAGTTTTGAAGCAACTAACAGTAAAAAGTGAAAAAAGAGAAAAATTGTGACATGATTTTAATTGTGAATCAGGCCTTTCACAGAACTACATATTCCTCTGCAGTATGAAAATTCATGAAAAATAATGGCTCTATTTTCATACCTCAGAAAACTGCTGTATTTTGTTCATAGTGACATGCTCTTAGTTTTCGTAAAAATGATTTCCTTTTTCTATGGAGAATTTCATGGTTTCCCAGAGTACTTCACGAAGTTATGATACATTTTATTATTTGACGAGTAACTGAGGTGGAAAATAAAGGCTAATAATAGTTTTAACCAAAGGAACACTTCTTTAGAATATGTTAAATTGGTTGACATTTTGACAGGAATATTTTAATAAAATAAATGTGTTACCTGTGATGTCTTTATATACTTTGTTGGCATAATTAGAATAATTACATTAAAGATCTTTCTCGTTTTGCTTTTAAATTACATTATTGGGGAAAAGGTCCGTGCTGATCTTTGTTTTTTATGTTGCAGAATATTTCCCTTAGAAGATGACACCTATACTTCCCGGTGCTCACTTTGTTCATACAAGATTGGACTTGAGACCCATCAACCTGCTTAATCTTTTATCTCAGAGACAGTCAGGGTTGACTTAGCTGGTCCCATTCCATAAATTTTTTTCTAAAGTATAAAACTTCCCCAGATAGGAGAAAGTTTTGTTGTTCAAAAATATGGGGTAGTTGCTCTAAAACTTTCTTATCTGGAGACAGTTTAATTACAGTTGTGTACAAGTTTATACCTGGGGTGGAATTTGTGTTTTTTCTGTCATACTCCACTCATAGCTGCCAGCTCATCCTCGAGACTGCCACTCTTTCCCTCACTCAGCCCTCTCAATGCCTTTGGCCACTGCAGCTAGCTTGGAATGCCTTTCATATGCACCTTGATACCTGGAGAGTTTACTTCAGTCTGCTTTTTCATCCCAATAGAAAGTAAAATATTTATTTTAATTGTTTTTAATGTTGCAATTACTGTTACATTCCTCTTTGGTTTACTTTAAGTCAGAACTATAAATAGGGTCATCCAGAGTGTAAACTTACATGTCTGGATTAATAAGGACCAGAGATGTGCTACCTATGAGAGTATTGAGCCTTTCTTTCCTTCTTATTACCACAACCCTCTGTCATAGACTTTTACAACAGAAGTAGTGGGGGACAGTGTCAGCCTTAAAAACATTGTTAGGCGGTAGACCCAGTTATTCCACTCTTGTTATAATATATTCCAATTAAGTTGCCTAAAGTATAAAAATCATCTGCACAAAGATGTTCTAAGTAGCATTACTTGTAATTGCCCAAATTATAAACTACTTAAAAGTTTAGGACAGGGGTTAATAAACTTTTCCAGAAAGTAAATATTTTAGGCTTTGCAGGCCATAGAGTCTGTGTCACATCTCAACTCTGCAGTTTGTAGCACAAAAATAATAAACAATAGGTAAACAAATCTGCATGGATGACTGTGTTCTAATAAAACTTTACTTACAAATGCAGGCCCATAGTTTGCCAACCATATATATATCTCCAATGAATGGTATATTATGTACTCATTGAAAATTAGTAAAGAATATAATGAACATGAGAAAATATTAAGTAAAAAAAAGCAAGATATATAAGTGTATGAATGGGTATGATTGTGGCTAGAAATAACACACCCAGCATATAATAAAAAATTGACAAATTACTAACTGTGGTTATATAGGATGGCAGGCAGAAAAAGGGTGAGTTGGTCTTTTTTCAATATTTCAGTTTTTCTTTACTTGTGTTACTTTTATAATAAACGTTTCTGAAAAGTATCTTGAGACCTGTATTAGTTATCTGTCATTGCATAATAATATAACAAATTTTGCAACCTAAAACAGCACCCATTTAAGATCTCAAAGTTGGGTTCTTTATAAGGCTGCAGTCTCATCTGAAGCTTGGCCGGGGAAGGGTCTGCTTCCTCACTCGTTATCAGCAGCTTTCAGTTCCCTGTTGGCTGTTGGACTGAGGGCCTCAGATCTTAGGGGGTTGCTGACAAGAGGCCACTCTCAGCTCTGCCACTTGGGCCTTGCCAGCACAACTGATTGGTTCCTCAAAGCCAGCAAGGAGATTCTCTGCAAGATAGACTCATAATCTTACATAATATGATCTTACACGTCCTCTCACCTTTGCCATATTCTATTGATTAGAACCAAGTCATGGCTAATTATTCTAGAAAAACGAAAACCACAAGAATAGAAAATGGTAAAAAGTAGAAATATTACAAAATGGCATCAAAGCATCATTCTTGGTCTGAGTAGTTTCTTTTTTCCTTTGAATTTCACGTATATTTGATTTTTTTAAAATTTATTGTTGACAGTATTACAGATGTCCCCCATTTTCTCTCCCTTTGCTCCCCTGCACCCAGCCCTACCCCACTCCAGGCCTTCCCCACACTATTGTCTGTGTCCATGGATTATGCTTATATGCATATATGTTCTTTGGTTAATCTCTTGATGGAAGGGCTTGGCAACTCTTAGACTCCCTCTGCTCCTCTAGAAAGTCTGAAGATGTACCAGTTCAGCACAGTGTGTGTTTCTGTAACTCCAGTCGTCAGTTTTCAGATCTAAGAATTCTAATATAGTTTATGATTAATTAGGATTTCTCCCACATGATTCCTTTTGAGGCTTTTCATCACAGTGCTAGGGAAATGGTGCACCTTCAGAAAGAAATGTAAAGCTCAATGAATGTTAGATTTGTGTGTCCTAATGACCAGTGGTTCCCAGATTGCTACAAGACCAGAAGTGTCCTTCGGGTTGACTGAAAGCTTTCTCACAGAAACTGTTAAAATTGTATGTCTTGGAATGTTGGCTCTGTTTCAGAATGTTCCCTGTATACTTGACCAAAGTTGTTCTGTCCAAAGCCCGCTAATGTGAATAAAGGTCCAGAACAGTTTGGAAAGGGAGACAACCCAGCTGTGTCTGTCTCATTTTAGTGGAAAACTAGGTAAAGTGATTTTGTGTGTGTAATCAAGTAGTTTTGTAATTGCATTTACATTCGTGTCTTCTTTTAAACATCTGTGCATCCCATCACCTTTTACAGCAACTGGCATATATACTAAACTCTTAATAAATATTTGGTGACTGGATGAATGCTGCTTACAGACTTGCTGAATTCTGTAGTGGCTTACTTTTTACCTCAAGGCAAACTAAAATGCGTTTGGACACCAGAGGGCACTGCTAAATAAGCACAGATTTTCAGATTCCTAGGAGCTGATCAGCTTGAGAAGTGGTGCTCTTGAAAATTTATTTTCAATCTGTGGGAAATAGCATAAATAAAAATATAAATAAGCTTTATTATGCTCACACCCCCTTTTTCTTTCTGGCATGCCTCTAAAATTACACTCTCAACTGTCAGTAAGTTTGTGCCTTGATTCATGCTTTCTCAAAATGCAAATCTCTCTCTAAAAATAAAGATTGTTTGGGGCAGGAGTGGGTGGCGTGGGTGTTTTTTTCTAGACTATGGTTTTATTCATAGCTATATGAAATGATGCATTTCATTTATTTTCCTTGCAAAGGCCTAATTTATTAAAGAAATTTCAGGATCAGATGACACAGCAAGAGACCCCAGTCCTGAAACACTCGCTGAGCTGGCCGCACACTAGTGGTGACAGACAGGTTGCTTCTGTACTACACATAAACTTTTCCCTAAACGCCCTCTCTAGATGGGAGCAGGAAAGGGGGAAAGGGCATGTGGCAGTTTCTCTGTCTTTGCCTTTGTTTTTGGAATCCCTGGTCAGTGTACCCTCTGCTGAGACAGCTCAGTGGAACACTGGGTGATGTAGGTCCAGTGAGTCCAGATTAATGTAGTTTCCTCTCCTGGGCCTCTCTAGAAGAATGTGTCCTTAAACACTATAGATCTCTCATGAGAAACAGGAGGGCAGTGGCACTTCAGAACTATTCTAAGCTATAATTAGGAGAGCAAACTCCAGCAAATTCGTCTAATCTGTGTTTTTTAAACTGAAATGGCTTTATACTTCAATATGTCCAGGACTAAAGCACTTGACCCAAACTGCATGGTGTTTCATCTTCTCTTTCTGAGCAGTTCTGCTCTGAATTCCTCCCTGAGGTCACTTTTTCCATTGCAGCCCCGGCAGGAGGCCTTTCGCTACCACAGCACAGTGGCTCCTGCCAAAGTGTATATTCTATACAGAAGCTCTTTATCCATCTGCTGCATTTTCACCTTGACCGTTTACATGTGCAGAATAACGTTGTAGCCTCTGAACAAGGAATAGTACAACTTTCCCTTCTTTCAGACCAGTAGCTGTTCTGTTCCTTCCCACCCCCTCGCCCACAGCCTAAGCCTCTTAATGATCTCGAAATAAGAACTGCTTGTGCTCAGTAAGGAAAGAGGTTGGGAAAATCACCTGATTTTGTGCGTGGGTGTGCTTTTAAAATGTTGAGATGATTCTGGAAAACTTCCCCCAAACCAATTTAACCAGAATCAAAGATTGGCTTAGGTTTCAGCATACTGAGTGGAGGTAATATTAGGAAGTATTTAATTAAAGTTCACTTCCTTTATTCATTTATCGTTAGACATCAATTAGGCTCCTTCTGTGTGCTTAGATGACTGGTAAGTGCTGGAGATACAAAGATTAGTGGGATGTGACTTCTTCCCTCAGATAGCCAATGACAACTCGCAGCCAAAATCCAAAGTCATGTCAGCGTGAGTGGGGAATACCTGTCCTGTGGCCTATGAAGCTTATGCAGTTTACTTAACTGCAAAGGGGTTCAACAATGTTTGACATATTAAATCGTTTCAGACAATCGTTTTATGTATATTATTTGTCCCAAAAGACTGAACTTGGAATAGGACACAGAAGTATTACACAATGCACCTCTCAAAGACTTACTTTCTTGCTACATAGGAGAAAATCTGTGTATACGAGATAACGGGAGAGCATTCTAAGGCAGCGTTATTTATAAATGCTAAACTATAATTCTCTAGCACTTTATTCACTACCAAGTGCTTCAGTACTTCTTATTTTGATTCTCACAAAAGAGCTGATGTTATTTACTTGTTATTATTAACGTATTATCCTTACATTTTACACATGGAGAAAGTAGGGTACCAAGTGGGTAAGCAGTGGCTTTGTATAGTAGCGAGTGAGTGGGTAATGAGGCCCATTGTGCTTTTCAGAATACCATGCTGCCTCTTTGTTGTATGGTGCACAGAAATATATTAATGTGTGTCAAAGACTTTGGGAACAAAAATAACTCTACTTAGTGCTGGAGGCAATTAGGTTGTGATTTAGGGATCAATCATATTACCCTCTTGTACTCTTGAACAAATGTATCAAAATGTCAAGCTGTGGGTAATCTGGAAAACCATATTCATAGGCAATATACTTAGTTTTATTACAAAGAATAAATACATTAATGTTCATGCGCTTATGTATAGGGAAACCTAAAGCAATATTTAATATTAAATGAGAAAGAGCTCAGAAAGATTCTCTGCTTGTTAGAGTTAAATTTTGTGCTGGCACAAAGAGTAGACTCAGGGAACTTTTAAATGATGATTTCGCCCTCAGTGAGGAAGGGTCTTGCACCCTAAATATTACCCAGATCTGCTTGCTATTGCTTGAAATCCTACTGTAATTCTTCTTAGTCGTGAAACTTTGATCCAAATTAATGACAAGCATTTTTGTAGCATCCCATGGGCAAGGCACAATGCTAAGATTTGGGGGGCACATAAGCCCAAATATTTTAATTCAACAGATAAAGTTAATAATTAGTTAAATTGTTATAAGAATTTCTAAACATTTATTCTCAATTTCTGTACTTGCCTCACTGCAGACTGGTGATGCTTTGTGGACTGACATTCGTGTGCAGACCACACTTTGAATAGTATGTGTTAGAACTCAGATGACAAGCACTGAGAGCCTGAACCTTAACAGTAGCCCAGCTATGTTAATTAGGATGGGCGAGATCACGATGCAGTAACAACCAGTGAATTAGTTTAACAGATGTTTATTTCTTGCTTACATAGACTTGGGAGTCCTTACTCTGGGAATCAGGTCAACAGAGCCTCCGCCTTCTGGAATGTTGTTGGTGCCAGTGGCAGGAAGAAGAAAGCACTGTATTAAAATGCTGTATTAAAATGCTTCCTTCCACCAGAACCAGCATATGGCACCGCTGCCCGCATTTTATTGGCCAAAGCAGTCACATGGCTGGCCATGATCAGCTTGAGGAAGGAGAGAAAGTGAATTCTACCATGTTCCTCGACAAGGAGAAGGAACAGTCAGAGGACAGCATTTCCAGGTAATGGGAAGGAGAGGAGAGAGAACACAGAGGTAGATTTAACCACTGATTAGCTGTGGGAACAGAGCAGGAGAGTTAAACCTCAAACTATACTGAGTCACTTTGAATGAGTTTCAGGTTGCAATGGGAAGATAGAGGACATTGCAAGGACAGGGCACTAAGCCACTGAGGTGAGAAAAGGGCCAACCTAGGGGCTGGGAGGAGAGAGAGTGTGGAAGACAAACTTTTCCCTACCGCTCTGCTCAGGCTATGGATTTAGTATCACAGAAGGGAGCTCTTTTACGTGTCAGGAACCTAGGATCACTGTAGACCTCACACTGCTCCCTCTTCTGCTGCATCTGGGCTGTACGCAGAATATGTTGTCCTAGTCTTTACTTCCCAAGAATGGGGAAAAGGAAGCATTTGTGCCTACAGTGTAGGGGATTTAGTTGGATCCTGCGAGAATCCTTCTGAAAGAAGCTGGTTAAACATGGGAGCTCAGATGGGGCTGGATTGTGAGGAACCTGGGCCGTCTT